GCCAAGAGGGGCATTGCGCCCAGAAGCACTCGGTGAGGCCATGGCAGGACTACCTGTAAGCCCAGGCCTTGCGTTGCATGGCCTGTGATGCCGCCAGGCTGGCCTGGGCTTAGGGAAGGTGGCACCAGTCCTGCCACAGTGTGCATTGTGGAGTTCAAGCATGTCCCCATCAGTTGGTGAAAGTGGGCCCAGTCCCTTCTCAGTTAGAGCCAGGTCAGGGCAGGTAGCAACAGGAGAGTGGTAGCCTGGGCAGGCTTCCTGGAGGAGGTGCGGGGAGGGCCTGGGCCAGCCTCCCTGACCCTGCTCTGCCTCAGGCACGCATGTGTACCAGTGGACTTTGAAGAGGTGCACGTGAGTTCCAACGCTGATGAAGAGGACATTCGCAATGCCATCATGGCCATCCGCCGGAACCGTGTGGCCCTGAAGGGTGAGCTCCAGGGCCAGGGGCCAGGATGGGGCCCTAGGTGTGATTCCTTCCTTCCTTCCTTCCTCCCTCCTTCCCTCCCTCCCTCCCTCCCTCCCTTCGTTTTCTTTTCTTTTCTTTTCTTTTTTTTTTTTTTTGAGACGGAGTCTCGCTCTGTCGCCCAGGCTGGAGTGCAGTGGCCGGATCTCAGCTCACTGCAAGCTCCGCCTCCCAGGTTTACGCCATTCTCGTACCTCAGCCTCCCGAGTAGCTGGGACTACAGGCGCCCGCCAACCCGCCCGGCTAGTTTTTTTGCATTTTTTAGTAGAGACGGAGTTTCACCGTGTTAGCCACGATGGTCTCGATCTCCTGACCTTGTGATCCACCCGTCTCGGCCTCCCAAAGTGCTGGGATTACAGGCTTGAGCCACCGCGCCCGGCCCGTTTTCTTTTCTTTTCTTTTTTTTTTTTTTTTGAGACGGAGTTTTGCTCTGTCTCCCAGGCTGGAGTGCAGTGGTGCGATCTCGGCTCACTGTAAGCTCCACCTCCTGGGTTGGCACCATTCTCCTGCCTCAGCCTCCCGAGTGGCTGGGACTACAGGCGCCCGCCACCACACCCGGCTAATTTTTTGTGTGTTTTCAGTAGAGACAGGGGTTCACCGTGTTAGCCAGGATGGTCTCGATCTCCTGACCTTGTGATCCACCTGCCTCAGCCTCCCAAAGTGCTAGGATTACAGGCGTGAGCCACTGCGCCCGGCCGCTTACTTGTTTTCTTTCTTGCTTTCTTTCTGAGATGGAGTCTCGCTCTGTCGCCCAGGATGTAGTGCAGTGGTGCGATCTCGGCTCAGTGCAGCCTGTGCCTTCCAGTTTCAAGCAATTCTTCTGCCTCAGCCTCCCGAGTAGCTGAGATTACAGGCGTGTGCCACCACGCCCAGCTGATTTTTGTATTTTCAGTAGAGACAGGGTTTCACCACATTGGCCAGGCTGGTCTCGAACTCCTGACCTCGTGATCCGCCCGCCTCAGCCTCCCAAAGTGCCGGGATTACAGGCGTGAGCCACCATGCCCGGCCCGCATGATTTCTTTTACCTCCCTCTGAGCTGACTCTTGTGAGGTCCCATGGCTCTGATTTCAGGGCTTGTCTGACTAGAGAGAACCCTTGTGCTTGGAGACTGGGTGGACGCCTCCTCGGGCCTGTTTGCGCTACGATGCTGGGATTCTAGTGGGAGCAGCTGTGTGTGCGCCTGTCCAGTGACAGGCTCCCTCCCACTCCTCCTTCCCTCTTGAGACAGTCATCTCTGCTGGGGTCAGCTTTGACCCTCAGCGTCTTTCTTCACAAACCAGGTATCACAGAGATGTAGTTCTGACCCTCTGCCTGGCGCTTCGGCTGCAGCCAGCCTGGGAGTGGATGGCACAGCCCAGGCAGGGATTCTCGGGGCTTCGCTTGAGGTTCCTAAACTGCTTCCATCGCTCATTTTGCACACTCAGCCCATTACCTGCACTGTGTGAGGAGCGTGTGAGCAAAAATGAACCCAGGAGGAGCCCCAGGCCCTGGCAGTCAAGTGGAGGGGCCTTTGTGCCAGCCACAGGGGACCCCTGCACTCAGAGTGGAGCGATCTGGGCGGGGTGGCGCTCACCAGCAGGCGGCCTCTGTTTGGCACCCTCTGACTGCTGTCTCCAGTGGCCACCAGCCTCTGCTTCCCTTACTCCAGGTGCCCTGGGTCGTAGGGCAGGGCCCGGCCAATCTGTGGCCTTCTCCAGGCAGCCCCTGCCTGCCCCTGAGTGTGGTGCCTTGATGCGGGGTCCTGGCAGTAACACCGCCAAGGCCACCTTGCTAGCTCCAGCCTGGCCGGCCACCCTGTTTAATAAAGAGTCGTCACTTTCTGTGGCTCCAGAGCCTGGGCAGGGAATGGCATGGCCGCCTGGCCAGTTGCCAGCCTTTATTCATTTATTGACTTGTTCATTCCACCGCTCAGTGGTTATTCACGGAGCACCTGCTCCACCAGGCACCCTTCGAGATCCCTGAGCACGTCGCCTTGTGGGGCTTAGGCTGGAAGTTGCATTCTAGTGTTCCATGAAGCATTTTTGCTCCCCAAGTCTTCTCCTGACCCTGGCAGACTTCAGCTGCCCTGCTGAGGTGGGGTGGGGATGGGCAGTGCCGCTAAGCCTGTGTTGTGTTTTGCAGGCAACATTGAAACCAACCATAACCTGCCACCGTCACACAAATCTCGAAACAACATCCTTCGGTGAGATCCGGGTGTGTGCGCTGGGGGCTCGGTGGGGCTAAGGTGGGGTGAGCCAGCGGAGTCTGGCTCCAGTCAGCAACCTGTCAGGCTTAGCAGCCTCTTTCTCTGTCCCCTCCCAGCACCAGCCTGGACCTCTATGCCAATGTCATTCACTGTAAGAGCCTGCCAGGCGTGGTGACCCGGCACAAGGACATAGACATCCTCATTGTCCGGGAGAACACAGAGGGCGAGTATAGCAGCCTGGAGCATGAGGTGTGCATGGGCGGCCCGGGATGAGCCCCCCTAGGGTCAAGATTAAGGGGAGAGCTTAAGGAACCAGGGACAGGCGTACCCTCAGAGGGCAGGGGCTGTGCCCGAGGGAGAAGTCAGAAATACGCAGATGGGGTGCTTCCCACTGTGGCCCCGTCACACCAGCTCGTTTGGCCAGTGCCGCTCTTCAGTAGCACATGGATCTCTTCTCCCCATCCCCTCCTCAGAGCGTGGCGGGAGTGGTGGAGAGCCTGAAGATCATCACCAAGGCCAAGTCCCTGCGCATTGCCGAGTATGCCTTCAAGCTGGCACAGGAGAGCGGGCGCAAGAAAGTGACGGCTGTGCACAAGGCCAACATCATGTATGCCCCCTGTCCCCTGACCCCTCTGAGAGTAGTCCAGAAGCAGCTGCAGTGGCCTGCTTGGGCCCGTTCTCAGGGATTTGTGGTCCAAAAGCCCAGCTACCCACCGAGGGGCCACCCCAGGCGAGTGCCCTGTTGCCCTCGAGGCATTGCCAGAGCCCACACTTAGGGGAGGTGGGGTGGGATTCTGTCCATTTTGCTGGTGAGGGACAGGTTAGAATTCAGACCCCAGCCTCCTGGGGCCTCTGCATGCCCCATCCCTCTGGCTGACTTGCGATGGCCAAGCTGGTATCCTGTTCCTAACCCCTCACCAGGAAACTGGGTGATGGGCTTTTCCTCCAGTGCTGCAGGGAGGTGGCAGCCCGCTACCCCCAGATCACCTTCGAGAACATGATTGTGGACAACACCACCATGCAGGTATTAGCCTGCCCAGTGCTATCCCCCCTGCCCTGGGTGCCCTGGGCTTCTGTCACCCATGCTCCCGAATCTGGCCCTCAGCCAGCCCCCTCTTTGTCCCACAGCTGGTGTCCCGACCCCAGCAGTTTGATGTCATGGTAATGCCCAATCTCTATGGCAACATTGTCAACAACGTCTGCGCAGGACTGGTTGGGGGCCCAGGCCTTGTGGCTGGGGCCAACTATGGCCATGTGTATGCAGTGTTTGAAACGGTGAGTACTAGGGGCAGGGCTGTAGCCTGCTGCCTTTTTCCAGTTCACAGACTTACTGAGGCACACTCATCCCATCGGGTTCGCCCGTTCAAAGTGCATGATGTAGTAGTTTTTTGGATATCCAGGGTTGTACTGCCATCACCACCATGTCATTCCAGAACGTTTTCACCACCCCACGAGGAAAGCTTGTCCCCATAAGCTGTCTGTTCCCACACCCTCCCCCAGCCCCTGGCACCCGCTGATGGGCTTTTGTCCCTGTGGAGTGGTCTCTTCTGGACACGTCACAGGAGCAGAGTCACCATCCTTCTGCCCTCCACCCACTCTCCTTCATCTTGCCTCCCCAGGCTACGAGGAACACCGGCAAGAGTATCGCCAATAAGAACATCGCCAACCCCACGGCCACCTTGCTGGCCAGCTGCATGATGCTGGACCACCTCAAGTGAGTGGCTCCCGGTGCCCCGCGAGCCCCTGGCCAGCCCTCCGGGCCCCAGGGACTGAAGCCTGGCTGTCCCGTCCTCTAGGCTGCACTCCTATGCCACTTCCATCCGTAAGGCTGTCCTGGCGTCCATGGACAATGAGAATGTGAGGTTCCCCTTGCACCCTACCCTGCTGCCCCACGCAGTCTCCCCCTGCAGCCTCCTGTAGCCCACCTCATGCACTGACCGCGGTCCCCAGGGGAGGGTGATAATGGATCCGGCACCACCTTCTGGCCCTTAGCTGGTGCCACTTCCCTCCTGTGGCAGTCCCAGCCCTGCACGCCACGGGAGACAGTGGGTAGCCCCAGGCCACCTGTACAGCGGGGAGTGGCAGGGCCTGGCGTGTGTCGAGCCTGCCTGTGTCCTACAGATGCACACTCCAGACATCGGGGGCCAGGGCACAACATCTGAAGCCATCCAGGACATTATCCGCCACATCCGCGTCATCAACGGCCGGGCGGTGGAGGCCTAGGCTGGCCCTGGGACCTCCTTGGATTCCCCTTCCCACCCCAGCACCCCAGCCAGCCTGGTAGGCAGAGCCCAGAATAAAGCAGCTTCTGCCTAGACTTGACGTGGGCCTCCCTCACTCCAGGCACCGATGTTCAGTCCACGCTTTATTAAGAAAGGAACACACACACTTTCTCCAAGGGCCCACCTGGGGGTCTCAGGCAGAACACGCTCTGAGAGCCGGGCCTGGCTCCAGCGTCTCTTCTGCCCTGCGGTTGTGGGGAGCTGGCGCCCAGAAGGGTGGTGAGAGTTGTGCCGCTTTTCCCTCAAGGCACGGAGAGCTGGAGGTGGAGCCGTGGCCGGGCCTAGGGGTTGAGCCAGGGGTGCTGGAGGCAGTCAGCGGCACTGGCCCGCTTTTCGGGGATGTACTCCATCATGGGCAGCAGGAAGGCACTGAACTGCGTGGCCTGCTCTAGGGGCCACTCGTACTTTTCCATGAGCACCTCGTACAGGCCCCAGTGCTTGAGATTGTGAATGTGCCGCAGCTCTCCTGTGGGCAGGCCAGTGGGCGTCAGGCTCTGTCCCTGTCTCCAGGCCTGCCTTCTGCTTTGGCCCTGGCTACTGGGACCCAGTGTTCCCTCTGTTGCAGAGTCCAAGGTCCCTGTCCCACCCTCCCTGCAGCCACATGGCCTGAGCCTGCCCGGGCCCTCACCTCTCCGGTTGAAGAACTCCCGGGAATAGCGGCCTGAGAGGGCGAAGGCTGGGGGGATGTCCCCCAGAAGCTCCACGATGTGAGCTATGTGGTCTGTGGGCAGAAAGAGGAGGTTGGGGGCGGGCAGGCCGGGAGGCCGGGAGGCTGAGCGGCTGAGCCCAGGGCCCTCATCCCTTACCCTCGTCACGACTGTAGTCTTCTCCAGAATGTGGCTCGAACAGGTAGTCACCAGTGGCCAGCTCGAAGGCCTGGAAGGGGGAGGAAGTGAGGCTGCTGGCCAATGGGCTGGTGGCCCTGGGCACAGGGCAGCCCGGGTGGGCGTACCATGCAGGCTGTGCTCCAGATGTCTGCTGGGGGGCCATATTCGGCGCCAATCAGCACCTCGACGGCCCGGTACTGCCGAGTCTGGATGTCCTCTGTGAAGTGCTTGTGCTGGAGGCAAGGGGAGCCCTGGGGACAGGAGCCAGGGCCAAGGCTGGCCCGCCCCCACGGACTCCTACCCCACCCCGATCCACCTACCCAAGGAGCTCGGTGGGGCTTGCTCTGAGCCTCGGGGTCCCCAGATCTTCCAAGAGGGACAGGCCCAGTGATCTGAGGCTGAGGCCGACCCTTTCCTAATGGCCCCTGCCCTTGCCCACAGCCCCGGTGCTGTTGACTGGGCAGGACCCATGCCCACCTAGCCAATGGTTCATGTGCACTGCAGGCTGGGGCAGGGCTCCCCAAGAGTGGCCCTGTGCCTCCACCCTTGGACCAGGGCCCCCCACTCTGCTCTCCCAGGCTTGCGCGTACCACCCAGCAGGCGTTGCCCAGGTCTGCGATCTTGATCTTGATCTTATCTGCATTTTGGGGCTCCAGGGGGTTCACCAGGAGGTTCGAGGCACCGAATGGTGCTGGAGAAGGCAGAGCGGGGAGACTGAAGTGGTTCGATTCCTGCCAGCCCTGCCTGCCCGCCGCCCGCCACCCAACTTACTGCTAGGTGACAAGAGGCCCCCGGTCTCTCGCTGATTGGATGAGCCGGAGAGGATGGAGCAGGAGGCAGGAGAGAAGAGGGAGCCAGAGAAACCTGAGGTCTGTGAGCCGGGGCTGAGGCTACGACCATCCCCCGGGGCGGGGGAGGAAGAGTCTGGGGAGGGACCTGCTCTGGCGCCCTCGGGGTGGCAACCTGAAGAGGAGGTGGAGCCGCTGCCCCCGTCTAGTCTCAAGCCAGAGTCTAGGGAGACGGGGTGGAGGCAGCTGCTGAGCAGATGCCCTGCAGCCTTTGCTGCGCTCCACGACCCAGCACCCCCTGTGGCCCCTCACCCTCAGCCTGGGTCGTGGCCTCCATGGCCTCCAGTCTCTGCAGGTCCCGCAGCCGCTCCTCCAGCAGCCGCTTCTGCTGTTTCCGTTTGCGCCTCATCTTCTTCCTCTTGTTTTTGGACAGCTTACCGGTCTGCTGTCAGAGCCAGGGTCACCCCAGGGTTCCTGTCGCCCGCCCCAGTCAGCATGAAGTGGAGGTTTCCCTGCATGGCCACCAGGGAAGAGGCCTCTCCGGGCCCCAGGGCTCCCATGGACACCAGAATGTGGTGCCAGCGCCCCTTGGCACCACTCCTCACCACTGTCCCTGCCTCCCCACCTGTGGCCCCACTCCCCACAGCTCCATTAGGAGTGGGAGGACCTGACTGGCCCGCCTCAGGGTGCTCTCTGTTCCCTCTCAGCCCAAGCTAAGGCAGCCGGAAGTGGCCACTCGGGGAAGACAGCATCCTTTCACCAAGAGCAGTTTGGGGCATTTGAGCCATCCCGGGAGTCACCCTCCGCCCAGCCACCCGGCCTTTCGGGATGACCACCGTGGGAGTGCATGAAGGGGGGAGTGAAGCCAGTGTGGCTCCAGAGATGGCCTCCAGTTGGCTCGGATGGGAGAGGAGGCATGGGAGAGAGGGGCCCCCCAACTTACCAAGACCTCCTGGGGGGCAGTACTGACTGGGAGTGTAGGTGGGGAGCAGGAGACAGGGAGGAACAGAGACTCAGGCAAGGGTTCAGGCCCAGAGGTCCTGACCCAGCCCCATGTGGACCCTTGGTACCTATGGAGCGGGAAGGGGGCGGCGCCCCTGCCTGTTGCCACTCCGTGGCCTCAGCAGCCAGGCGCCTGATGTAGGCGTCCCCCACACATAGCAGGATGTTCTCGGGCTTAATGTCCGTGTGGATGATCTTGCACTTGGTATGGAGGTAGTCCAGGCCATGCAGCACCTGCGGAGGGTTGCACCTGACCTCCACGAACTCCCCCTCAGGCCAGGCTGGGCAGCCTAGTGGGTGGCACTCACCTGCCTCACGATGCTCTTCACGCAGGGCACAGGCAGGCCCTGGTAGTTGGACTTGATGATCCATTTGAGGAGCTGGTGGCCCAGCACCTCCAGCACCATACACACATCTAGGCCAGGAGTGAAGGGCGGACAGTAGACACCAGCTGTGGCTCAGGCCCCACCCACCCTCAGCTGGGGGAGCAGCCAGGCTTGGGCCATGCGGAGGTGGGGAGGCAGGGCCTCCCCGGGGCAGTCCTGGTCACCAATATGCTGGTGTCGTCGATAGTGTCCCTGTCGCTCTCAACAGGTATACCAGTTGGGATGGTGCATTTTGTGGTTATCCTAGAGGTGGCGCTGGAGAAGCAGGCACAGAGGCCTCTCGGGCCAGCCCACTCCCACGCCAGTTATGCCATAGGGCCTCTTGGCAGTCCCTCAAAGGGAAGGGAGCACCACAGAGGCAGCACCTGCCGTTTGGGGGTGACAGCAACATCCATGGGCCATCAACGCTAACTTATTACTGCCTCCACGTAAACACAATTACCTGGGGGTGGGATCATGCCAGAGGCTTGCGTTACTGGGAGGGATGCAAGCCCATTGTGTGGATCTGCAGACAGGCTCTGGCAGTGAGGGCCCCCGTTTGCCGGCCCTTGGCTGCCACACTGCTTTGCTCTTCCTGCAAAGGATACGGACTCCATTGACTCCTGAGATCCTGAAGTCATCAATGAGCTGGACAATGGTCTCTCTTTTGGGGTCACTGGGGTCGCTGTCTCGGACCTGGAGTAAAAGCCAAGGGGCCACAGACGGTTCCACCCTGCCCTGAAGCCCACAGCTCCCTTCAGTGTATCCCTCTTCTGCTGCAGCTGGGCCCTGCTGGAAGAAAGGTCGCCAACCCCTCCTGTCCCTCACCCGTTCCTCCAGATCCTCCCCCTCTGGCACAGCCAGCTGCAGGCTGCCCCTCGGGGAGCCCCGCCCTGCCCCACAGAGCCCCAGCAGGCCCTGCACCCGCATTGCCAGGCCCCAGGCAGCTCCAGGGGAGCTGGGAGTGGGTAGGGAGGTGCCTCACACATTTCAGGAGCTTGATCTCATCCACAGCTGTCTCCGTGTAATGCCCTGCACTCTTCACCACTTTCAGGGCCACAAAGCGCTTGCGCCTGTAATACCGAGACCCTTGTAGGCTGTGGCTCTGGCAGGACCCACGGCAGGGATCAGGGTGGCTCCAACCAAACCCAGGGACAGGATCCCAGCCAGTGCTGGGCCCAGAAGGCGAAGGAGGCACTCACTGGATGTCCCAGCAGAGCCAGACAGTGGAGAAGTGGCCCCAGCCCAGTTTGCGCACCACGTGGTACCGCCCATTGAACAGGTCGCCAATCTTCACAGGGTAGTAGCCACCTGCCAAGGGGAGATGATAGATTGGGGTGGTGGGGGTTCTCTCTCCCCTGGGCCCCCAAACACCTCGACCCCATTGGCCATCTGGCCCATGTGGGCCCAGGGCTGCCCTGGGTCCCTTGTAGTGGCCGTCAGGCCGCATGTGCCCAAGGCCCAGCCTCACCCTTGCAGTAATCCTTGGGGTCTTCCTGTTCCTCATCGTCAGAGCCCAGAAGCCCCTGCAGCATCTGAGGCGCCGGCGTGGCCAGGGCTAGTTCAGAGCCTGAAGACTCGGGCCCGCAGGAGGCCTGTGAGCTGTGGGTGGGGTGGGTGGGCGGTGAGCGTGAGAGACGCCAGGGGCCCCGGGTGCCTGAGCCGAGCCCTACCTGCTGCTGCTGCTGCTGCTGCTGCTGCCGCTGCCGCCGCCGCCACTGCCACTGCCCCCAACACCGCCCGTGCTCGCGCTCATCCCGGCTGCGCAGCCCGCAGCTCCGGTGCCCCGGGCGGCTGCTCCTGTGGGGCCTGGCTGCGGCCTGTGAATTTATAGCCTCGGCCGGCCGCTGATCTCACCCGCCTTTATAAATAGCCTCCCAGCTGCTCGGCTGTGGGCAAGGTATGCGGCGCGAGGAGGGGGCGGCGCGACGGCGGCCCCAGAGAGCCCGGCCCCCAGGCAGAGCCCCCCTCCTGCTCCAGGCCCACCCTGGAGGCAGAGGGGGCTACTGCTTGGGGACCAGGGACAACTGGGCCCCCAGGCTTAGCCTCCGCACCCCAGCTGAGGGGGAGGTCCACGAGGGGGTGAAGCAACCCGTACCCTAGGTTGGGTTCCCGTTCTCCAGTGCCGACTGTGGGGATGTGCTCCGCTTGGCAACCTGGTCCTTAGGCCAAGCCCTGACCACCTGTGCCCCCGTGGGCATCTTCCTTGAGGTGCTCCTCTCCCGTGGGAACCCCCATCCCTGGCTGCTCCCAGCCACTTCCTGCTTCTGTGTTTCATCAGCCCCTAGGACAAGTGGGATCCCAGTGCCCTCTGAATGTGGCGTCGCTGGGGACCCCTCATTTCCCCTACCAGAGGCACCAGGCCTGCTGAGGGAAGGCCTGGGAGCTTGCGAGCCCAGAACCTGCTCCTGCGACCCTGCCTGGCACTCTGGCTCCCAGCACCTGCTCTTCCTCTCCACCATTTGCAAGGTGCCTGCCATGGGCTGCTCCATAGCCAGACATGGGGGAGGCAGCAGGAAGCTGCTCGCTGCTGGGGACAAGCAAGCCCATAGCCACTTCTCCATGAGTGTGGTGGTGACTGAGAGACCAGGAGAAATTGGGTCCCCAGAAGCATCCACGGCAACCCAGGGCACAGTGGGGCAAGGCCTGCAGCCAAGATGCGTTCCAGCCCGTCACGTGCTGGCCATGACTGCTGCATGGTTTGGGGGCAAGGACTGGAGGCCTGGAGTCTGTTGGCTCAGTGTGGAGCTTGGGTGATATGGGGTTGGGGAGTGGTCACTGAGCTTCTGCTCAGCAAAAGGTTACTCTGGCCACTTCAAGGACAAGGGAATGGAGGGGTGAGAGTGGAGCTGAGAGGCCAGCTGGGGCCCGACAGAGGAGTCCCAGTGAAGGGGAGGGGGCTTGGCAGAGAGGGTGCTTGTCGTAAGATATTGGTGCAGTGTTCCTGTACCAGTGTCCGTGAAGTGGTAGGGGTGGGCCACGCATTGGTGGAGGGGCCAGCGAGGTCAGGGAGTGGGAGGGAAAGTGAAGCCCGGGTACCTGATGGCCTCTCTTTGTCTGTGGGTAGCAGGTCATAGCCATGGGGCTGAGGGGCTCTCAGTCAGGGGAGCATTGAGTCAGCTCCTGCAGGGAAAAGCAGGGGCTGGGGATTGCGCCCTTTGTAAAAAGACATTTCTGTCCAGGTGTGGTGGCTAATGCCTGTGATCCCAGCATTTTGGGAGGCTGAGGCGGGCAGATCACCTGAGGTCAGGAGTTTTGAGACCAGCCTGACCAACATGGGGAAATCCCGTCTCTACTAAAAATACCAAAATTAGTCAGGTGTGGTGGCACACGCCTGTAATCCCAGCTACTCGGGAGGCTGAGGCAGGAGAATTGCTTGAACCCGGGAAACAGAGGTTGCAGTAAGCCGAGATCGTGCCAGTGCACTCCAGCCTGAGAGAGCAAGACTCCATCTCAAAATAAAGACATATTTCTATTTTATTTCCAGATGTGATTTTCCAGCAGGCAAATAAATATAGTGGGGAGAGGGGGAAGAAGGGGGGGTCCTTATAAATTAGAAATAATCCCAGGTGGGGAGAAGGTGGGTGGGCTGGCAGGGGAGGTGGCAGGCAGGGAGCCCACTGCTGGGCACAGCGCCTGGCTGTGCACCCTGCGCCCCCAGGCTCTGCCAGCTCCCCTCAGTGGCTGGCTCGGTTCCGGGGTCATAAGGCACTGCGGTGGTGGTGGATCCGGCTTGCTGCTGTCTGAGCCAGAGCTCACAGGTCAGTCACTTTGTTCTCCACCAGGGCGGCAACCTGCTGCAGGCGGCAGGCCAGCTGCAGCTTCTGGCCCACAGGGTCCTCCTCCAGGGCACTGATAATCTGCCCAGGCAGAGGAAGGTGCCTGTCTGAGCCTGCCCCTCTGCCTGCTGGCCCAGGGCCACCCACCCTGCTTCCATCTCTGCAGGAGCCTGGGGATCCAGTGGGGGCTGCCTGGGGTCTTCCTGGGAAATCTGAATGAAAGCCGAGTCCCTTCCCCAGCCTGGGCCCCGCCAGCATGGGCTGGCACCGTTGCTCCGCCGGGAGGGTCCACGGGCCTCCCGCTCCGCTGCGCCTCCCCTCTGGAGTGCCCTGGGCCTCACCTGATCGTAGTACCTGTGGATGTGGTTGTAGAGTTCTTGCAGAGCCTCCAGACAGTGGGGAGCAGAAGTGTAGCTCTGGGGGCACCATGTGTAGGGGGGCAGTGAGGTCCCAGCCTGGTCCTCAAGCCCAGTCCCCCCTCTGCTAGTCTTTCCACCCACATGTGGACAGGCACACCCCCTGGGCCATGCCTCACCCCGGAGAGCTCAGCCAGGGCAGAGTTCATCTCCTGGTAGCTCGCCGGAGAGCTCTGGCGAATGTCTGCATAGTATCTGGAGGAACAGACTTAGTTAGGGGTGGGGCAGCCCCCATTCTCCGCAGCCCCGATGCCTCTGATACCCACCTTTCCACCATTTGCTTGTAGCGTGGGATCTCCCGGGCGTAGAGCAGTTTGTTCACTGGGGAATCCTGCTCCAGAGGGAGGGAAGGCGCTAGGCATGAGCTAGGAGGTGAAGGTGCCGCCATTACGCTGCCACCGCCCACTCAGAGCTCTGCGCAGAGCCCTCCAGGCTTCCCCCATAATACTTTCCTCCTCAAGCCCCTGCCAGCTGCTGCTGGCACTGCTCTTACCCGGCCCACTTTATGCTCCGAGGTGGTACAGGAGTCAATAAAGGTCTGGGCGATGACAGCAAGGATGGCGTCCACGTTGTCCGACACCCGCACATCAAAGATGAGCTGTGGGTTCTTCAAGGCATTCACCCAGAACCGCAGCAGCAGACTGGGGGTGCAGGGCGGGCGTGGGCTTGAGGCCCTGGCCCGCCATCGTGATCTCCACCCCATGCGCTCCAGCCTGCTGGCAACACACTTGGGGCCAGGGGCCACTGGAAGCTGGCCTGGTGGCCCAGGTGACCTGGGCCCTAGATCTTCCTGTAAGTTCCAGAAACCGCAGGTGGGTGCATCCACCCTGGGAATGTCCTGGTCCCTCTGGGACTCAGTGGACCATGTGCACAGCAGGGGTGGGGCAGCAGGAAAGGCACCTGTTAGTCTTCCAGATGTGCAGGGTCCCTGGGTCCTCGATGCCGTGCTTCTCTGCGAGTTCATCCAGAAGGTCAAACAGGTACTTGACAGCAATGGGGATGGGCCGGTTCACACTGAGAATGGCCTGGAAGGTGTCGTCCACAAACTTCTGCAGCGTGCCCTGCGAGGCAGGGGATAAGGGCCATGTGGAGGGCAGGGTGTGGGGGCCATCCACGGCCCAGGCTGCCTCTGCCCCTCCCGCTCCCGGGCTCGGCCGGGGGCCCGTGGCTGAGCCTCCTCTCAGGCCGCACCAACCTTCATGGACAACAGACGCGTGAGGTAGATTTCCGGAATGGCCTTGGCCCTCGCTGGCTCCCGCTCCCGCAGGCTGCTGCACCGCACCTTGGCCCCTTCTGGCTCCTCGGTGGCTTTCACCAGGTGCCAGAGGCACACCCCACCCTCCTCGCCATCCTCCAGCGTGGGGATGTCTGAGGGCACAGGAGCCTGGCTTCAGGATTATGCCCCCTGCCCCTGGCCTGGGATGCCCAGTCCACTTCCCTGACAAGGTGGGGCAGGGTGGGGACTGGAAGAAAGGAAGGAGAGATGGGCAGAAGATCTCGGTGGGGTGGGGGATGAAGCTGAGGCAGGTGCGTGGCCAGGAGTTCTGCCTGTCCAGCCTGGACTCCAGTGGCCCCAGGTCGGGGCCGACCCTGAGGGACTCACTCTCTCCCAAGGGGCACCTCTGGGCCAGGCTCTGGGAGATGCTGCTGCCGCTGTGCAGCTGAGGGACGAGCCCCACTGTTGCTCCATCTGGGACCTGGCAGAGATGGGGAGCAGAGGCTGTGCTGACCCCTGGTGAGGCGCCTACACTGCTCCCACCCTGCCCTGCCTCATCCTGCCCTGCCCCCGGCCCCGCCCTGCCCTGCCTCGACCTCCCCGCCCCAGCCCCGCCCTGCCCTGCCTTGCCCTGCCACTGCTCACACCTTGTAGTGCTGCAAAGTGTTGAGTCTCTTCCAATGGTTTTGGGTCACGGAGGTCAAGTCTTCATCCGACAGGGTGAGGTGACCAGCCACGCCCGAGCGCCACTCTGGAGGGAGTCAGGGATGCAGATAGTCTACAGCCTGCTCTCCGTGCCCCACGCTCATAGTAAGGCACAGATGAGGGTCTCCAGGTTCTGGAGGGGTAGGGAAGGGTCCCTGGGGTGGGTGGGCAGGGCTGGCTCTCTCACCAAGGTCTAGGGCATGCACTGAGGGCCTCTGGGAGAAGGGGGTGCCCTTGTAGACTTGGTCCAACACCTTCTCCTTGACCTGGGTGATGGTGTCTGTGTCGAGCACCCGGGCCGGCACGCGCTGCACCTCACTGCCAGCCCCAGGCCCCACCAGCACCATCAGTGTCAGGGGCTGGAACTCCACGTCCTCCCGCAGCAGGCGGCTATCATTCAGGGTCCGTTTGGCCTTGCCTGTCACGGCGTCCACGGGGCCTTTGTCCACTTGGTACTGGATGGCCCGGAAGAGCATGTACAGTGGCTCACCGGCCACCTCCTGCACTGCCAAGATGAGCCAGCATCAGCCAAGTGAGGGGATCGATGGCAGCCCTTCTCGCCTCTGCCTCGCCTCCAGCCCGGGAGAGGGTTCAAAGTCCTTCCCTTTCCAAAGCCCCCCCTTGCTGGGCCTTGGTCAGGTAGGGCGCAGGCAGCAGCCCCCACATGGCGGGAGGGGAGGAGTCTGCCACTCGGGGCTGGGGGCAGCCGGGACAGTGCCCCTCACCCTCAGGAAGGCGTACAGGCAGATGGACAGCCAGTTGGTGAGCAGTTTTTCCACCATAGTCTCTGTCCTGCGGAGAGCCGGCCACAGGGTCAGGCGTTTGTGCCTGTGTCCCTGCTGAGGACATCTCACTTTCTTTCCCGCAACCTTCTGGGGCTTCCTGGCCCCCCGCACCCCTGGGCAGAGCCCGCCCAGGGTGCGATGGGGGCAGGTCTGTGGCGAGCCCTCACCCCCGCCACTGGGTCCAGGTCAAGGCCAACCTGCGTAGCATGAGCTTGGGGTTCCTGTGCACGTAATGGGCTGCCAGGTCACCCAGCAGGGTCCTCATGATGTCAGTCAGGTACTCCAGCTTGCCGTGTAGTGCTAGCGACAGCAGCGAAGCCACATGGCAGCGATCCCTCTGGGAAAAGCTGGGCTGCTCCTCCAGGGTGTGGATGAGCTGGGCAAGGGTTGGAGGCTCATCCCGGGAAGCCGCACTCTTCCCCCCCATTTGTCTCAGGCCAGCAGTTCCCCAGCCCCACCTCCTTGCCCACCGGGGACTCCTGCCACGAGGCCCTCACCGTGAGGAGGAAGAGCTTGCTGTTGAGCAGGTTGGAGAGCTGCGTGAGGCCCTGGTGCGCAGTGGTGCAGCGGCCGTCCTCCCCTGGCCCCTCGGGCTTGGGCTGCAGTGGGCAACCGCCATGGCCAGGGAAGAAGGCGCGCTCGGCGTAGGTGCGGTAGTCCAGGAAGGGGATCCCGCTGGCCTCCAGGTCGCTGCTGAGGTCGGTCATCTCCGTCATGAGGTCTGCAGGCCAGGAGCAGCTGAGGTGTGAGTTCAGGCCCTGTGGGCACCCTGTCCCCCCTGCCTCCGCACCCACCTGTGAACTCCTTGCGGCACTGGTCCCCCACGCCGGTCTCCAGGCTCTCCAGCTGCAGTAGCACCTTCTGGTAGTCCCGCAGGGCCTGCTTACTCTTGTGCCTGCAGCCCAGGGCCAGCATCAGCCAGGGCCAGGGCCAGCCTGGCCGCCTGCTGGGGTACCCTTGCCAATGGCGAGGAGGGAAGTGTGCTGGGGGTGGGCGGGTCTCACCTGTACATGAGGGTGAGGAGGAGCACGGCGGCGATCAGCACGGCAGCACCCATGCCCAGGCCTGCCTGGGCCTCCACGGGAAAGGCAGACAGCGGGGGCTCAGCCTCGTACTGCACAGGGCCCAGGGCCAGCCGCACATTGCCCATCTGCACCTGGGTGGGCAAGACTCCTGAGTGCATGCTGGCGGCACCTGGCCCACCTGCCCACCCAGGGTGCGGACTCACCACAAACTGTGGCAGACCAGAGCCATCGGCAGGCTGCGGGGCGTGCGCAGGCGGCTCGCAGTACAGGTGGGTGCGCGTGAGCGTCTTCACCAGGCACTCGCTGCGGCCGATGTGCACGCGCACCTCTTCCTTGCTGATGCCCAGGTTGAGGCCCTCACCCTGGGACACACATGGGAGCCTAAGCCACTGGCCCCCACAGAGGCGGCCTGAGCAGCCTGGCGGGCAGGGTTGGAGATGGCCCTCACCTCCACATCCAGGATGTGGCCTGGCTTGAGGCGGTAGGGGTGGGCAGGCCCCTCGTGGCTGAGGGGTGCCAGGCGGGGGTTGGGCTGGTACAGGAAGTCCTGGCCCCCACTGGCGCTGGCAAAGTCCACTTGCACGTTGTCTAGAGTGAAGAAGACCCGCTGCGGGCGGGCCCTGTCTGGCACGGCAGGGCTCCAGCACAGGAGGAGGCTGGACGAGTTGACAGAGCAGACGGTGGAGCACTGTGGGGCCGGCCGCAGGTGGAGTGAGCTGGGCTCCGCTATGCACTGCCAGGGGCATGGCAGCTTGCCCTCCCCCTCCCCACCGGGCATGGGCATGGTCAGGGACAGCCCTGTTGCCTGCTGGTGAGGGGCTCACCTGCAGCAGTCCCCCACCAAGCTGGATACAAGCCTGGGGATCCGCAGCAGGGGCTCCACAGCTCCTCCTTGGCTCTGGGTCCTGGGGCTGGGCCCTGGAAGCCTGTGCCTCTGTGTCAGCCTCCAGCCACACAGACAGTAGGGGCCGCTGCACCACATCCAGGCCGGTGCCCCTGACACGGATCAGCCGCCCACCCCTGTGCCAGGATGGCAGTCGGGTGTGGGCGAGTGGTGGGCAGCACAGCCCAGCCCCCATCCCACCTTCCCTCCTGCCTGGTGCACAGGCTGGCCTGTGGGCTGACCCTCACCCCCGGAAGCTGGCACTGGGTTCCGCTGCTACAAGCCGGGGGTTGGCGGTGTAGCGGAAGGGGCTGGCGAGCAGTGTGCGCTGGGCATGGCCAAAGACCACAAGGACCGCTGCTTCTCCTGGGACAGCCTGGGGCCTGGTGCGGCACACAATGGCCTCCGGACACACTGGCTCCAGGCTGCAGGATGGGTAGCGGGATATCTCATCTTGGCTCTAACTACCGCCCCTCTACCCTAGCCCTGGCCCAGCCCTGGCCCAGCCCCCATAGGAGAAGCCCTACTTAGCCTGTCTTGACAAGGGCAGGGACCACTGGGGGTGGCCACAGCAAGCACTTCTCTGAATGAACCACCCCCCACCCCCGCCATGTAGAAAGGACACTGAGGCCTATGGGAGTGCCCACCACTCGACGGCAGGCAGCAGGCTGGGACTCACATGGGACAGGGTTGGCCACCCACGAAGGCACTGGTGTTGCCACCTGTCTGGAGGTGCTGACCTCGGATGGTGAGCTGGGTGCCCCCTGCCTGGGGACCCCAGCGAGGACTCAGGCTCAGCAGGACAGGGTCCTGGGGAACAGCGTGGGCTGGGTAGGCAAGGCAGCCCAGCTTGGCCCTTTCACCCCCTTGGGCCATGCCCAAGGTCCTCCGGTTCTGAAGCGCAGGTCATCTCTGGGCTTCACCTCCTGGGGCCAAAGTGGACCACACCCTCCTTCCAGAGGCCACTGCGCGCTGGGCGGCTCCCTCCCACCCACCCCTGCCACATGGGGAGTAGGAGTGGGGCTCTTTTATCCTCACTGCCAGTCTCTCCCCCTTGGGACAGCCTCCTCCACACCACAGCTTGCAGCCCCAGACCTGGAGCTCTGAACTCTGAAATCCAGTTGCCTCCTTGGGGCACTGCATGGGTCAAGCAGAACCTGCCCCTGCCCCCACTGCTCCTGTCCCAGCCTTCCCGCCTGGGAAATGGTGCCACCAAATGCCCAGGGCAACACTTCCCGAGAGCTTCGTGCCCCAGACTGGCCTGGTTGCCCGCCTCCACTCACATACTGTGGCTTCCCTCCTAGACATGCAGCGGCGCTTCCTGCTCCCCGCAGACCCAGCTTGACATCCTCATTAGGCGCCTGCCTTTCCTGGCCCTCCCTCCCACCCTCCCCTGCACACCTGGGAGGCCACTGACCTGGTAGGTGAAGTGCTGGCTTGAGATGCCTGGTGGCTGGCTCTTAATGGCCACCTGGACGGGTCCAGTGGTGCCATTGGGGGCAGGAGATGTCACACACACAATCCTGGAAAGCCAAGGCCTGGGAGCTGCTCAGGGCCCAGGGACGTAGGGGACAGCCCACCAGCTGCTACCGATCACACCTTCTCCAACCCTCCCGTGACCCAGTGCCCCAGGTTTCTTGGCCACAGGCCTGCCTTATCTCTGGGTGGCCATCTCTGAGGGCCTCCCCACCCATCCTCACCCTCCAAGTGCCTCACCGGGCTGAGGTGCGGTAGAGAGAGGGCTCAGGGCTGCAGGGCCGGCTGGCCACGCTCACGGCGTATTGCACATCAGCGAAGGCCCGGCCCAGGTTGGAGCCCAGGATGGTGAGGGCCAAACCTCCCTCAGGGGGACCAGTCAGGGGCTCCACCTGCAGCAGGCAAATTATGGCAGATGGGATCCCCCGCACCCACACCCCACTCTACAGTGCCAGGTGCCCAGCCGGCCAACCAACCCAGCCAGACCGAGCTGCTGGGGTTTGGGGGCCTGGGGTAGGGCTGGTCTGACCACGGAGGATAGGACAGTGCAGGGCAGGAGAAGTGGGCCACTGGGCTGTAGGGGCCCCAGCAGGAGACCTGCACTCAACCCTAGAGGCGGGGACTCACCGCATCAATGCTGGGTGCAGGACACAGCAGCTCCACAGCCCCCGGCGGGCACAAGGGCCCATAGCGACAGGCAGGCTGGCCATCAGCACACCACAGGCAGCCCAGGCTCCTGTTGGCCGCTTGGCAGTGGCTGCAGTCCGGGTGGCCCATGGCACAGTCGTACAGGATCACTAGGGAAGGTCAGGCAGTGTGCTGAGTGCCTCCTATCTGCCACCCACACTGCCCCGCCTGCCTGGCTGCCCTCAGGCTCACCATAAAGAGCATGGGCGTTGTCCAGCCTCTGGGCCTCGCCCTGGGTGACGTAGATGGGCACTGGGAGCTCCCGCTGGGACATGGAGGGGTAGAACTGTGGGCAGAGTGTGGGGTCAGGCTGGATGCCCACTCAGGGCACCTCTGACTCTTGTCTCCTCTGGGCCACCCCCTAGAATTAATGTGATTGTTCCCTGCCTCTCCCCCAACACTGGGGCCCAGGGACAGAGGCACTGGGCCCCAAGCAGGCTCTCCACAAAGATGGCAGACTCCTGAGGGTCTATGGAAGCTTGGGGACAAGAGGGTTTGGAGGGCAGCGTCTCACCTGGTGGGCCTGGCAGTGGATGAGGCCCGAGTCCCCTGCTGTCTCCTCCAGGGTGGCCGGCAGCCCCCGAAGTTCTCCAGGCAGCTCCAGCCAGCAGTGGAAGGAGGCAGGCAAGCCCTGGGGAAGGAGGCTGTCAGGAATGTGGACATGCTGTTGGCAGACCCCACTGCCCTGCCCACTTCCCTCCTGACGGCTCACTCGGAAATGCTGGAGATTCCGCACGCGTAGGGCCAAATGGCTCTCCCAGCCCACAGGCACCAGGTGGGGACCTGCCAGGCCTTCAACCTGCGGGCAAGCCCCTGGGCCACGCACCTGGACGTCCACCTGGGAAAACGAGAGCCTTCAGCCCTTTAGAACTCAAAGGGCCTACTGCCGGGCGGGCCTGGGAAAGGTGGAGAAGGGACAGCCCTGTCTCTGCCCGAAGGTCGGGCCCACCCACCTCCTGGGTGCTGTAGACGGTCCTCTCGCCCTCTGGGCAGTGCTCTCCATATACACAGTGGCTACTCTGGGGGCACCAGTGACACCGCCAGATGCTGCCCACGCAAGCACGACACCTGGAGGGGAAGGGCAGCTGCTCAGCTGAGTGCCCTCTGGGGTCGCCACCTCTACCCCAAGAGGCAGGCCCAGGGACTCACGGGGCAGCTGCCTCCAAGGCCTGGATGGCACTGCAGTCATAAAAGGAGAAGTTGGTGGCAGCCACAGCCACGTCTTCGAACATCAGGGCCAGGGGCACAGTGACATGTTCTGGGAGGGGACAGTGGGGGCAGGACAGGTCAGGTGGTTCATTCCCCCTCCAGCTTCCACCCCAGCCCCCTACCCCATGAGCCACTCACCTGTGCCTGGAGGGTTAAGTGGCACCTGGTCTTGGGGAGGGGTGACACAGGCCACGTAGGGCCCTTCCACATGAGCCAAGCTGTCATAGTCCCCGAACGCACAATGGAAGTATTCATCTGCATCCAGGATGGGCAGCCGGGGGACAGACAAAGTGACCTGGGACGCAGCAGGGAGAAACAGGGAGATGGAGCCAGAGCAGAGGGGGTGGCCACTGCTGGGGGCGGCAGCAGAGGCCATGGGAGAGAGACGAAGGGAGGCAGGTTCATGCTCCAGGCAGTGGTCATGCTGCCCAGAGGGCCCAGTGGTGGTGGGCAGCTTACCTGGCCCTGCTCCTGGCGGGGGTGGTGGCTCGGCAGCAGGCTCTGGATGTGCAGGCAGTGGCTGTCCTCCTCATAGCTCCACAGCCACTGGTTCGGCTGGCCTGCACGCCTGCACTGGCCCTTCCGGGTACACCTGCCAGGCAGGGGCCTATCAGGTCACCGTGGAGGTCCTAGACTCCAAGCATGACCGACAACGGGGCTGGGGAGGCCGGCCCAGCTGGAGTGCGGTGGGGTGCAATGAGCAGGAGGCGTGAAGGGGATTGTGCCCAGAGAGAAAGGGGCCAAGCAGGCCAGGCCTCATGGCGGAGGCATGGGCTCCAGCCAAAAAGGAGCTGTGACTGGGCTGAGGGACGCAAAGTGACTCAGGGCTGCCTTAAAGGATTCCTGGAAATGCCGGGTGCAGCACGGGCTGGAGGGCAGCTATGTGGGGGTCCTGGACCCTGGCTGGGGCTGCTGGGATGAGGAGCCCACAGGCTGGGTGGTGTTGGAAAAGGGGGGTGCCAACCAGATTCACGGCTCAGTGAAATGGGGCAGGATGGGTGACCTCCGTGGTGGTCCCAAGTCTCTCCAACAGGCAGGGTTGGCTTCCCGAAACACCTAGGGCTGCTTCCAGGGGCAGCCTCCTGGCACACACCACCCATTGGCCCAAGCCTAGGCACAGGCCCCGTGCTCACCTGCCCTGGAGGACACACCAGCCACACAGCGGGTCCTGGGCCTGGAGGCAGCTGGCACAGTCAGGGAACTGGGGACAGGCCGCCACAGGTATCCGGTCCACCTGGAGGGGCAGCAGAGCAGAGAGGCAATGGACACAAGACTCGGGCCGCGTGTGCTGGCCCCTTCAGCCCCAGGACGGCCCTCACCTGGTGAGCAGTCAGGACATAGAGGTGACTGTCACTGCTGTCCAGCAGCAGGTCTGGGCTGATGGCTGAGCCTGGAGGCCCCACTTGCTGGGAGTGGTAAACCTGGCCCTGGGAGCCGTGGAGAAAGACCTGAGTGGGGGGACAAGGACAAGGCTGGGCCAGATGGCCAAAGGTTGCCCGTTCAAGGGACACGCCCTCCTCCCAGTGGGGGCTCCTTTTTAGAGCCAGCTCCCCTTCCTGCTGGGCCATCGAGGGAGGACACATCGATTCCCCCACTCAGCACCCTCAGGTCTGGGACACTCTCCAGGGAACCATGATACCAGGGCAGCAGCGGCACCCTGGGTGAGGCCCTGCGTACCAGGGACAGTTCTGCCAGGTGAGAGGGCACCTATGGGGAGACAGGAAGGTCACCAGGAGGCACCACACCCTGCCCACCTCACCCAGCCACCCCAGCTACCTTCACCGTGAGCCACCACCAGCCGTCACTGTGTGGCAAAGCCCCCCAACCCAACTGTGGGATGTGGGCTAAGAGGTGGAGGTTTCTGGGGGCTTCCCTGAGCCTCTGTGGCCAGGGGCACACCCAGCCAGACAGCAAGGCCAGGCCCTCACCTTGTGCAGCTGGCCCTGGGTGTCCCCTAGGAAGGCTATCATGTGCCCGTCTGCCTGGAGGGCTGCCACGGCGCTGACCGGCTGCCCGAGCTTCAGCAGAGGCTGGGCCTCCAGGGGCTGGCGGCCGGCAATGGGGCTGGGGGTGTGTTCGTCGCCGCAGGGGTACGACTCGGGGGAGTCCTACATGACAGGGAGCAGAGAATCAGCCCCCGGAAGAGGGCAAAGAGGCAGTCAGGGGGCATGCCCAGGGTGCCAGCGGGAGGACAGCCAGGCACCCTGGCTTGGGAGGATCCCAAGGCCCAGCAATCAGGGCTGAAGGGCCAGGGCACCTGGCAAGCTCATAGCATCCAGAGGGAGAAAGGTGGAAAGAAACGGGTGGAGAGCAGGCAGGAGACCTGGAGACTCAGCCGACCCCTGGCTGAGAGGTTGGCTGGCACTTCCCATGGGCAGGCACCCCTGCCCAGTGCTGAAAGATGCTAGCCATCCACAGAGGGAGTGGGGGTGGAAGGGCATGCCACTCACAAGGGGCAGGGTGACACAGCGCGACGTGACGCCGTACTCCACGGTGGCTTCTTCTGCGCCGCTGGGACCCCGGCCGCCTGCCGTGTAGCAAAGTCTCCGGGCCTGCTCCATGCTGGCCCCCAGCTCCGCCATGGGGAAGGTGCAGAGCGCCGCCTGGGTGCCCCCTGGGCCCGCGGCAAACGCCCCTAGCAAGGTGCCCGGGGCAAGGAAGGCGGCCTGGATGAGGCCCTGGCCCTGGCAGTCGAGGGGGACCTCCACATAGGAGTACAGGTTGGTGTCCCCCAGGCAGACGCGGGCCACGTAGGAGCGGTACTCAGCCTGGGCCCGGGCCCCACGGCGGCGGAACACAAAGTAGGCGGAGCGGGCGTCGGCAAAGGCCCCCACGTAGCTGTTGTTGTAGTCGGAGAAGTCACCTACCACCAGGCGGCCCAGGCCCTCGCTGGAGAAGGGCTGAGGCCCTGCCAGCTGGCGGATGGCCAGGGGTGGCACCCCTGCCGACAGCTTGCCCGCCAGGCCTCTGGCCACAAGCAGGAGGTCCTGGCCGGGCAAGGGCACCACCAGCCCGACTGTGGCCACTCCCGGGGTATTGGCAGCCACAAACTGCCCGTCACCAGGGTCCTCGGCCTGGTACAGCACCTCGGCCACATCCCCGAGGCGCCGTGTCTCACACACACCCTGCCGCACCTGCCCACAGGCCACCAGTTCCTGGGCACGGCTGCTCACCAGCAGCAGCTGGTTGGCATTGTCAGTGAGCTGAGCCTGTGGGCACTCAGCCGGGTCACGGAAGGGCACACAGTCGGGGCTGTCGATGACAGGGCCAGTGACAGCCATGGCCTCGAGCTGCAGCTCAGGGCTGAGCTGGAAGAGGCGGTTCACGGCGCCGACATAGAGTGTGCCTCGGCCAGGCGCCAGTGCCAAGTGGTTGAGAGTGGTGTTAGGTGCGGAGAAGCGATGGGCCCCTGTCAAGGGCAGTGGCGGTGGGGACAGCAGCAGCAGGAGGAGGCAGAGGCTGAAGGGAGGCCAGCGAGCCATCACGGGGGCCTGTGAGAGGGCACAGGTCAGGGCAGTGGGAGTGCAAGGCAGAGAGAAGACCAGAGGAAGGTGGAAGGCGGGGTGGAGAGAGGCCAGGGTGCTCAGGGCCAGGGAGCAGGGGAGGCAGAGAGATGGAGGGCGAGGGAGAGTGAGCAGAGACAAAGAGACAGAGGGGGCACAGAGAGAGGAGGACAGAAGGAGGGACAAAGACAGAGTCCAAGAGCTGGAGCAAGAGGCAGGGAGGGGTGCACGCACGCATGCACAAGCACACAAGGAGAGAATTCTTTTATCTCCTACTTTATATGCATGTAGATTGTTGAAGGGGGGCAGGTCCTGGAAAGCCACAAGAGCGCTAACAGAGGGACTCTGAGTCACAGAGCGGGCAGGGGAGGGAGGGAGGCCATGGGAGCTGGAAGGCTGGCGGAAGCTGTGTCACAACGCGCCCCTGCGCCCACCACCCAGACAAGAGAAATGGAAGTGGAGTGAGAGGAGTGAGGTCACCGTGCGCCCCAAGGGACTGGACAGGGAGAGAAAACCTGCCCTGGACAGCCAGGGCCGGCTGCAAGGAGGAACCCTCCCCAGCTGGGGGAAAGAGCCAGGCAGCCGCGGGCTGAGCAAGGAGCAAGTCAGCGAGGAGCAGGGGTCAGTTCCATGCTGGCCTGCTCCATGCTGGCGCCCAGCTCCGGGGTGAGGAAGCACTGGGGCAAGCCAATAGGGGTGCTGGGAGAAGCCAGGGGTGCCAAGAGACAACACAGGCTGCAGAGGTGCAGGGAGGCCTGCTCCTGCCCCATGGGCCCCAGCAGTTTGGGTCTCTCAGGGCCTGGCACAGGGGGCCTCAGTGTGGCAGTGTCCCGGGAGAAGAGCAGACCAGGAGATCTGGCCGGGGGAGGGGTCAGGGAAGGGGCAGGGAGGGGTGCCAGACTGGAGATGGCTCCTGGGTGTGCCTGGTGGGAACCCGGGGCTGAGCCGCTGAGGGTGAGAGGTGAGAGCAGCCCCTGCTGTGGCCCCTGCTGTCCCCCACAGAGAGATGTTGCCCTGGGTGTGTGGTCACATGCCAACCAAGAGTGGGGCTGCTGGGACTCAGGGCAGAGCAGCGCCTGGAGGAGGGCCCAGAGGCCCCTTATCTCAGGAACACAGGCAGGAAGAGCACGGACATTTCCTGCAGACCCCGGGCTATCTGTGGCAGTGTCTGCCTTGAGGGAGACTGCAGCCTGTATGTCCTGGGCCCTGGCCAGAGCCATCCTGCCCTACCCTGCCCCTCCCAGGAACATTTTTGGGGACACCGGGCCTGGGCACTTACCATGAAGTGGTGCAGCAGAGGGGTCTCGTGGGTGGCGTGGCACATCCGCTCAGTTCAGCTGCCCCAGGGCAGTGGTGATGGGCATGAGATGGCTGTGGGGGGCATTGTCCTGAGTGGGAGGGAGACAGTTGAGGCTCAGCCCCATTCGAGCTGGCCTGGGGAAGGAGGGGCGGTGGTGGGGGTGGCGCCCAGGGCCTGGCGACCGGGCTCCCTCACAGCTGGCAGCTTTGTCAATAGTGGCCAGGCCAAGGCAGCCCTGCCTCCACCACAACAATGTTCCCTCTGTCCAGAGGCCAGGCCGGGGCCCCACTCGCTGGTGCTGCCACCCCCACTGGGCTGTTCTGGACAGGGGGCTCCTTGCCACTTCCCACCCTCAGGGAGCCACCCCCGGGATCTGGGGACAAAGGGCTGGGGTTTCCTCCAGCCAGCCCTCCCCCTCTGGCCCTGCAACCCCTGTGTCACTAAGCATGCCCCTCCCTGACTCCCCTGGGTCCCTGTGAAGGGCACGGGGTGGGCTTCAGAGCCAAGGCTGATAGCCTTGGGGCCTGGGTGAAGTGCCAGTCCTGGCCCTCAATGCCTGCCTTTGTCCAAAAGATCTTCCCCCACACCCCCGGCCCAGCCCTGCCCCTGGGGACTGGTGAAGTGGTGCCAGGTACAGCATGGTGGCAGCAAGCAGGACCACGGGAGGAGGCTGGTTGAGATGGGCTGAGGCAGAGGGTCCACAGGCCAGGGCTGTCCACCCCACCCCCTGAAGCACCATCCTGCTGGCCTAGACGCCATCCGTGCAGGGGGTGGGGAAGGGAGGGGCACCTAGCAGCTAGCCCCCCTGTCACCCTCACAGGCCACCCTGGCCAGTGGCACAGGAGCAGGTGCACTGGGGATGGGGTCTCTTCCTCCCTCACAGCACGGCAGCAGTAGGCTCCAGGGCAAGGTGGCAGCGGGCTGCTGCCACCTGGCTGGGCCAGTTGGGTGGCTGTGGGGGTGGGGAGCCAGGCGGGCAGCCTCTCTACCCTGTATTCTGCCCGGGGTTGGTGCTGGCTTTCCCATTTCGGGGAAGAAACACGGTTCCCCACCTCCTAACCCCAGGGCTACCCCTTGGGGGACATTGTGCTCTCAGGCACCTAGTGCCGTCGTCAGGCTGGGCTGGCGCCCGAGAGCTCTTGCCTGACCCCAGCCAGTTGGCCCTGAGACCCTTGCTTCCCCCTGGCGTAAGCACACCCTGTTGCCTTGGCCTGAAGCCTGGTAGCCCCGGCACCCCAAGCCCAAGCCTGCCCCAGCTCTTGCCTACCTGGCGGGCCACCAGCGAGGGCCAAGTAGTAGCTGGCAGTGCCAGGAGCACGTCTCACGGAGCCCCAGCCTCCCTCCCCGCAATGCAATCATGCCCAGCCCGACTCATCCCAACAAGCCTGGCCAGGCAGCCCAACCTCTCTCTGCCCGCCCCTTTGCCCAGTGGCGCAGGGCAGGGCGCTGCTGCCCTCTGCTGGCCACAGCTGGCATGATGGAGGACTGACTGTGGGCACTTGGCTGGAGCAGGTGAGAGAAGGCAGCGCCCTCCTATTGGGCGGGCATTCCATAACCTGGCACGAAGCACCTACTGGATGCCAGGCTTGGGCTTGGCACTGGCACCATTCAGAAACAAACACAGGCTGGGAAACTGAGGCACAGGAGGTTAGGAAACGAATAAAGTCACACAGTATGTAGCAAGACTGAGTCAACAACAGGGCCCCTTCACTTCACCATCAGGCTACATGACCTTGAACCATGAAGATTGGCCGGCATTGGCAGGAGATGGAGCTGAGGCCTACCCCAGGCCAGGCCTGCACGTGACATGCCCACGTGGCGTTGAGAAAAAACCAGTGTTTCCCACCAGCTGGAACACAAGGTTGGTCGACGGCTGGCTTCCAGGGTGTGGCAGAGGCCAGCAAATCAGGCAGGGTCTCTGTAGTCAGGCTTGAGAACTTGGACTTGCCTCGCCATGGGCAACTGCAAGTTGGTGGTGCTGGGGCAGAGAATGTGGGGAGGCCTGGTCCAGTGGTGGTTGTGGGCATGGGGAGAGGCGGGTGCATTCCAGAGGCGCTCTGAGGAGGCAGCATTCTGAAGACTGTGTGTTGGACCCAGGGCAGGAGGTGAAGGCAGGAGAATCCAGGCGAGCCTGGGGCTTTTCTGCTGGGGCACTGTTCCCCCTGTGTCAGGGCCGTCCATGGAGGTGCCGGCAGGAATAGGAGGACGGTAAGATTGAGGGGCCCATGAGGGAGGAGGAAATGGCAATGGGGCTGGGGAGGCCGCGGGGTGAGAAGCTTGGCTCAGGTGACTGGAGCCCTGGGGGCAGCTGGGGTATGGGGCCAGCAGGAGCTCAAAGGCCCAGCAGGCTCGGTGTATGGGTGCTTCCCTGAGCAGCTGTGTCATTCTTTCCAACCTGCATGAAGAGAAATGGGGCGCAGAGGCGGGTGGCTTGCCATGGCCTGACGTCATTTCTTCAGAGTGCACTCCACGGAGATGGGATTTGAACCGGGCATTCCGGCATGGGCCACACTCTGGACCACTGGGCCCAAGATCCACAGCCTCTCACCTGTGGCCACTGAGGACGTGGAGGCAAACCAGGCAGGCCCGTGGGAAGGGACCACCAAAAATCAAGTGAGCAGCTGGCGAGGGGTCTCTCCCCAACAGGAAGGCCGGGCGGCCTTGACGGGGCCACGGAGGGATCTAGAACCTCCAGGAGGGCAGGCTCGGGGGAGCCACCTGCCCTCTCTCCCTCTCCCTGTCCTTCCCCCCATGCCTACCCCAACACACACACATGTCCTTGCTGGCCCTGCACAACAGCGATGCCTGCAATCTGGCATGAGGGATGGGATTTTCCTTCCTTTCCACAGAAGAAAATAAATCAGGCTGGGCACCGTGGCTCCTGCCTGTAATCCCAGCACTTTGGGAGCCCAAGGCAGGAGGATCGCTTGGGCCCAGAAGTTCTAGACCAGCATGGGCAACATAGTGAGACCCCCATCTCTACATACAAATTTAAAAATTAGCCAGGCATGGTGGTGTGAGCCTGTAGTCCCAGCTACTTGGGAGGCTGAGTTGGGAGGATTGCCTGAGCCTGGGAGGTGCAGGCTGCAGTGAGCCGTGATGGTGCCATTGCACTCCAGCCTGGGTGACAGTGCAAGACTCTGTCAAGAAAGAAAGAAAGAGAGAAAGAGAGAGAGAGAGGGAAAGAAAGGAAAAGAAAGAAAGGGAAAGAAAGAAAAAGAAAGAAAGAGAAAGAAAGGGAAAGGGAAAGAAAGAGAAAGAAAGAAAGAGAAAATAAATCCATCCACAGGCAGCACCATTTTCATAAATATGTGTGTAGATGGCAAATGCACCTTCTAAGCTTTCTGAGCAGATAAGAGGCGTGGCTATGGCAGCCCCTGGTCTGAAGCTGGTGTAACCAGAAAGGATCGAGGCTGGTTTGGGGAACTGGAACATCTTATGTCAGGGGAGTTGTGCTGGATGTATCCTGCAATGGCTGGGTCCCCTCACCAAGGGATGGGAAGGAGCATCGTCTCCTTTCCGTGTGCCAGGCTTCTCAATGCTAGAAGGGGACTTGTTGGGTCAGTGGGACGTGGGCTTCGCGTTTGCTGGGCTGAAGACATAGCTCTCCATGCTAGCATCCCAGCGGACACCCCCACTGCCACTGCTGCTCCACGTCTTCATGTACACCAGTGAGCAGATTTGATAGTTTCTGCGCATACCGTGGGTGTGAAATGGTGCCCTGCTGGGCTTTGAGTCGGCATTCCCTGGCCACCAGCCATATTGCAGCGCTTTTCATTTCTTCTGTGAAATGCCCTTGCATGTCTTGGCCTTACATTTTGCAGGCGTTCTGTATTTTCCATACCAATCCTTGGGGTGTATGTCTTCGGCCTACCTGTTACTTGTCTTCTCAGTTTGCTGTATGTCATGTGATAAACAGAAAGTCTTAATTTTAATATCATAGCATTTACCAATCTGATTTTTTTTTTTTTTTTTGAGACGGGGTCTCACTCTGTTGTGCAGGTTGGAGTGCAGTGGCACAATCACAGCTCACTGAAGCCTCCTGGGTTCAAGCGATCCTCCCACCTTAGCCTCCCAAACACCCGGGACTAAAGGCAGGCCCTGCAGTGCCCGGCTAATTTTGTAATTTTTTGTAGAGACAGGGTTTCGCTATGTTGCCCAGGCTGGTCTCAAACTCCTGGACTCAAGTGGTCCTCCCGCCTCAGCCTCCCAAAGTACTGGCCCATGAGCCTGTGAGCCACCGCGCCTGGCTACCTTCTTTCGAATTCCTATTCAGACTGTGTGTTGCTGGTATATAGAAAAACAATGAATTTCTATGTACTGATTTTTGTATCAAATAACCTTGTAAACTCTCATATTAAGTCTAATGACTATCTTTGGGTTCTCTTTGTGGATTCTTTTTGATTTTCTGCGTACACAATCCTATCATCTGCAAGTAATGATTGTTTTGTTTCTTCTATTCCAGGCCTTTTAGCTTTGATTTCTTTTTTTGAGGCGGAGTGTGGCTCTGTCCCCCAGGCTGGAGTGCAGTGGCACAATCTTGGCTCACTGCAACCTCCGCCTCCCTGGTTCAAGCAATTGTCCTGCCTCAGCCTCCCAAGAAGCTGGGACTACAGGCGCCCACCACCACACCTGGCTAATTTTTGTATCTTTTTTTTGTTGTTTGTTTTGTGTTTTTTTTGTGTTTTTTTTTTTGTTTTGTTTGTTTTTTTTTTGAGACGGAGTCTCCCTCAGTTGCCCAGGCTGGAGTGCAGTGGCGCGATCTCAGCTCACTGCAAGCTCCGCCTCCCGGGTTCACGCCATTCTCCTGCCTCAGCCTCCCAAGTAGCTGGGACTACAGGCGCCCGCCGCCACGCCCGGCTAATTTTTTGCATTTTTAGTAGAGACGGGGTTTCACCGTGTTAGCCGGGATGGTCTCGATCTCCTGACCTCGTGATCCGCCCGCCTTGGCCTCCCAAAGTGCTGGGATTACAGGCATGAGCCACCACGCCCGGCCTGATTTTCGTATCTTCACCAGACACAGGGTTTCATCATGTTGGCCAGGCTGATCTGGAACTCCTGATCCACCTGCTTTGGCCTCCCAAAGTGTTAGGATTACAGGCATGAGCCACTGTGCCCGGCTGATTTCTTTTTCCTGCTTTACTTCCCTGGACTTGCTTTATCTTGCTTTTACTTCCTTTAAATGAAAGCATAGGAGGCATTCTCAATGTTCCATTACTAAGTATGTTTGCAGGGAGCGTTTGGTAGATATGTTTATCAGATTTAGAAAGCTCCCTTCCATTCCTAGTGTGCCATATGTTGAATTTTTATAAAATGCATTTTCTGCGGTGGCTCAAGCCTGTAATCCCAGCACTTTGGGAGGCCGAGACGGGCGGATCACGAGGTCAGGAGATCGAGACCATCCTGGCTAACACGGTGAAACCCCGTCTCTACTAAAAAAATACAAAAAACTAGCCGGGCGAGGTGGCGGGCGCCTGTAGTCCCAGCTACTCGGGAGGCTGAGGCAGGAGAATGGCGTAAACCCGGGAGGCGGAGCTTGCAGTGAGCTGAGATCCGGCCACTGCACTCCAGCCTGGGCGACAGAGCGAGACTCCGCCTCAAAAAAAAAAAAAAAAAAAAAATGCATTTTCTGAGTGCATTAATATGATCACAGGGCTTTCCTCCTCTAATCTGTTAATGTGGCAAATTACATTAATTCATTTTTAAATGTTAAACCACTCTTGTATTTTCTGATCTAAACTCAACTTTGCATGATGTATTATTTTCATATACAATTCTGGATTGGGGGGTTTTTTGTTTTGTTTTGTTTTGTTTTTAGCCTCGTATTATCCTCGTCTGGTTTTGGTATCAAGACATCGTAAGGTGAGTTGAGGCAGTATTTCCTTTTTCAGCTGTTCACTGGAACAGTTAGTCTAAGATGGAGATGATCAGTTACTTCCATGTTTGCTGGAGACCATCTGTAAAACCAGCTAGGCCTTCCTTGTTTTTTTGGTTTTTGTTTTCTGTTTTTTGTTTTGTTTTGTTTTGTTTTTGTTGTTGTTGTTGTTTTGAGACAGAGACTCACTCTGTTGCCCAGGCTGAAGTGCAGTGGTGCAGTCTTGGCTCACTGCAACCTCTGCCTCCCGGGTGCAAGCGATTCTCCTGCCTCAACCTCCTGAGTAGCTGGGACTGCAAGCGTGCACCACCACGTCCAGCTAATTTTTGTATTTTTAGTAGAGACGGTGTTTCGCCATGTTGGCCAGGCTGGTCTTGAACTCCTGACCTCAGGTGATGTGCCTGCCTTGGCCCCACAAAGTGCTGGGATTACAGGTGTGAGCCACACCTGTAGCATCTGGTCTGGCCTTCCTTGTTTTTGTAGCTTCCTGCCTGTCCCTCTAT